CTCTCTCATCATTGATGTTTCTCTCTTTCCCTCTCCCTTCCTCTCTGAAATCAATAAAAATGTATTTTTTTAAAAAATATATATTTTTTTATTTTTTACAGAGAGGAAAGGAGAGGGATAGAGAGTGAGAAACATCGGTGAGAGAGAAACATCCATCAGCTGCCTCCTGCACACCCCCTACTGGGGATGTGCCCGAAACCAAGGTACATGCCCTTGACCGGAATCGAACCTGGGACCCTTTAGTCCTCAGGCCAACGCTCTATCCACTGAGCCAAACCGGCTAGGGCAATAAAAATGTATTTAAAAAAAATAAATTGATTTGGTCTTGTGGCAGGTGAGCATTTATCTACCTTACGCCTGGGCTTCGTCTTCTCCTATCCTCCAGAGAGAGTTATTTCATCATTTCAAACGTCCAACCACGTTTACTTTACATTCCTTCCGGCCCGTCTGGAATACTAGTCCCTGCGGGTTCAAATGGTTGATAAGACATGTTCAAAGTCAGCTGTATTTTGGGGGTGATGAGCGGGATTCTCTCTGAAGTTTACAGCAGCCCCAACCAACATTCTAGACTTTCCAGAACCGTCTCCATTTCAAACACAGCCAGCGCTCGCCACTCGTGGGCTGAGCTGCGGTGGTTCCTCCTATTTAGCAGCGACGCCAAAGGACCGCGCTCTGTGGGGTTTATCAACTCACCCACTTGGAAGTGTTGGTAAGTGGAATTCAGGGGCAGCTGCTTAGCAAGTAGCATCTCTGCTGGCCAGCTGGCACCCACGTCTCCACGCGGCACGGCTCACCTTCGCTGTGGCCTGTATGCAGCGACTCCTGTGAAGTGGGACTTGGAAAGTGGCCTCAGAAAGCATCACAACTGCTGGGGAGGGGACACGGAAGAAAGGGTCTTTCCTCGGGGGCTTCTGGGTGGCCAGACAGGCCCCCACTCTCAAAGGAGGCAGGAAGTGGTGCTGGTTTTGAAGGGACAGCTAGGGTGCTAAGCGTTTGCACAGAAGGAAGAGAGGCCTTTGGGTTGGAGGCATCCCAGGAGGCTTGGTTTTGCAGAACAGGTAGGATGGATGTGTGGAGATGGGAGAACATTCCAGAAGGAAGGGTAGAATAGAATAGGGGGTGTGTGTGTGTGTGCAGAAATGGGAGAACATTCCAGAAGGAAGGGTAGAATAGTAGAATAGGGTGTGTGTGTGCTGTGATGTGCAGAGATGGGTGTGTGTACACTGTGTGTGGAGTTGGGAGAACATTCAAGAAGAAAGGGTAGAATAGTAGAATAGGGTGTGTGTGTGCTACGATGATGAACGGTGCTAATGGGCAGAGTCATTGTTCAAATATGTGTGTGTGCTGCGATGTGCAGAGATGGGTGTGTGTGTGCTGTGTGTGCGGAGATGGGAGAACATTCCAGAAGGGAAGGATAGAATAGTAGAATAGGGTGTGTGTGTGCTGCGGTGATGAACGGTGCTAATGGGCAGAGTCATTGTTCAAATATAAGAACAGCAAGTGCATGGCAAGCTCAGTTTCCTGGATCGGAGCGGCCCAGAGAAACCAGGAAGAGAACAGCTAGTCCATGTGTGCGTCTCTGTGTGAGTGTCTGTGTTGGAGGGGTCAGGATTCGGGGCGCGCAGTGAGGACAAGGGAGCAGCGTCCCGCAGGGCCGAGCCCCAGGCCTCTGTGTGCTCCTCAGACAGCAGCAGCTGACCTGGGGCCCTGCTGGCCTGGGAAGCCACGGGTAATGTTGGCGAACCTGCCTTGCTTTCGATTTTTCTTAATACTTTCACAAAAACATTTCTCTATTAACACAAACATGAAAAATAAAACTTGTACGACAAAAAAACAACTTCAAAGACATTCTGATTCCACCTAAGAGGCCCTCAGTGTTTGCACCCTCTTGTTGGGGCCACTGGGGCAACTAGATCTGAGAAGCCCAACTTCCTCAGCCCATTTAGTGTCCTGGCAACTCGATGAGGTAGACACGATCATGCTACAGGTGAAAAACCGAGGCCCATCAAGGGCGTGTGACATGCTCAAGGTCACAGGGCTAATGCGCAGCAGCATCAGAACTCAAGCCAGGATCTGTGACCAAAGGCCAAGTTCCTCCTGCCAGAGCTTGAATGGCTGATACATTATATATATATCAAGCACAGACAGGCCGGCGCTAAATCAGGGAATAAAGCTTACCTGCCAACAGGAAGTTCAAGGCCCACGTTCCGCCTGGAGGGGCTGAAGGTAAGGACAGGAAGAGAGCTGTGGCCACAGGAGCTCTAGTTATTCTCATCCCGGCTTCTTTGGGGCCACTTCTCCCCGAGACTGAGTGTGACCTTGACCCAGCAAGGGCACTGTTCGCACGGTGGAAGCAGGAAACGCGCCTCTGTTTCTGTTTCTTTTCTACCTAGCGTTGTCCCGCAGAGCACAGAGGGCTCCGAGTCATTGGCCCGCCCCTCCTGGAACTGAACGCTGGAGGAAGGGTGTCCGTCGGCTGTCACTTCTCTCAAGGTGTCCTTCCCACGACTAAGAAATACCTTGCGGTTGACACAACAGGAGAGAACGGTATTATTGAGTCCGACAGGACATTGGTGGAGCGTGGGGACCTCTGGGAGCAGCTGGGAGCTTCTAGATCTGCTCCTTTCCATTTGCAGTTCGTGTCGCTATGAAAATCAAGAGCTTTATGTTTTTTTTCAGAGTCGGGGGAAAAGGAACCTCCAAAAGGACCCCCCATGGAGACTCGGTGCAAATACAAGGTGAAGGGCGATCCGCGAGGGCAGTCGAAGGGTCCTGCTCCTGGGCCTAGGAGAGGGTGGCTATCGTCTGCAGCGGAATGTCGCCGTCTTTGTCGCCGTCTTTCTTCTTCTCCTTTTGAAGTATGTGTTGGGAGAGTTTGTTAAGAAACCAGCCAACATCCTGGAGGTCCTCGGGCCACCTCAGGTACTGCTGCTTCTGGACAAACGCTCGCAGGGCCTGGTGCTTCATGAGCTGGTACTGGGACAAGGACCCGACCACCACCACGATGAGCGCGCCGTTGAGGTCCGCCAGGCCCCTGCTCTGGGCGCAGCTGAAGGCCTCCAGGCACCACCCGTCTCTCAGGAAGTGTCTGCTCACGAGACAGACGACCTTCCTGCTGCTCCACACGGCATCGTGGATGTTGGCGATGACGTCTTCCCCCGGCATGAAGTCTCTCTCTTCAAAGCACAGGCGGAGCCTGTTTTGGGCGCTGTACTGAGCGTCCAGCTGTGCCAGCAACGCGTTCTGGACCCATTCAAAGTCTTTGCTGCTGAAGCACAGGTAGGCGTCGTACTTGTACGTGTCGGGCTCTCTGGTCTTGGCTTGGTCCTCGAACACAAGTCCCCGGACCGTCTGGTAACAGAGGAAGCAAGACCCCCGGCACTTCGTGAAGATGAAGACGGCCACGAGCAACAGCATCACCGTGACGGTGAACAAGACGAAAAGGGCGAACCTGAGGGCCGTGAGTCTCTCCTCTTCGTCGCAACCCTCCGTGGTCAGGGAGTAGAGGGACATCCCGAGCAGGGGGCTGGGGTACGAGCAGGACATGTCTGCAGGAGCCCCAAATAGGGTGACGTTGGTCTGATTGAGCCACCTGATGAAAGGGCCAAGTTCACACTCACAGATGAACTTGTTGTGAGTGGCGTCCAGGACACTGAGGGATGCGAAGACCTCGGGGTCGGGAGAGAGGAGCTGGTTCCTGGACACGTCCAGCACCTCTAAGCGAGGGGGCAAGTCACCGGGAGAGAGAGCGGTCAGCCTGTTGCCGTTGAGGCTGAGGACCCTTAAGGCAACCAGATGGCTCAACACGCCTGGCGGGAGGAAATTCAGGTAGTTGTTGTTCAAGTAGAGGAGTCGGAGGCGGGCAAGGCCCTTGAAGACATCCCAGCAGGACCCGGTCTCCCAGGCGAGCTGCAGCATATTTTCTCCGAGGAAAAGCTGCTCTAAGCTGAGGTTCCCGGAAGGGCCAGGAGACGGCGACGAGGCACACAAGGAAAGGCGGTTTTGATTTAAAACGAGAACCTGGAGGTGAGGGATCTGGAAGAGGAAGTAGAGCTCATCCACCCTTTCCAGCCTGTTCTCTGACAACTGGACGAAGCTGGCTGTGAATCTGGTGTTTGGCAACGTCACCAGTTTGTTGCCACCCAAGAAGAGGGTAGGGATGCTTGGGATGAAGTGAATCGTCTTCAGAGCGTTGTCCCGCAGGTCCAGGGTCTGCAGTCTCTGCAGGGATCGGAATGTCTCGTCCTGAATGATCCCAATGTGATTCTTTTGCAGATCGATATAGGCGACGTTAGGTAGCCCATAGAAGTTGGGGATGTACAGTTCCCCCAGAAGGTTAAAGGACATATTGAGAACCTGGAGGTTGTCGAGCCCATAAAATGCCTCCCGTGCAATCGTGTTTATCTTGTTGTGGGCAATGTTCAGGACCCTCAACTCCCGGAGGGCCTCAAAGAGGCGGAAGCCCAGGGTGAAGATGAAGCCGTGTGAAAGGTCCAGGCGTCTCAGTGAACTTCGGGCCAGGCCCGCGAAGGTGTGCCGGTCGGGATCTTTGATGTTTTGGAAGCCAAACCCAGGGCCCATGGTGTGACGGGCAAGAACCAAAGAGAGGATCTGGGTGCCGTTGATGGCGCTGGTAAAGTTTCTGATGATGTCCACGGTCCAGCCATTCTTAGAAACATCTAGGGTGTCTAGGACCATGTTTCTGAACGGGTTCCTGCACTTCCCCCAGTCCACGGAGACCCTGGAGTACAGGTTATTGGCCGCAAGCCCTAAAAAAGAGAATTCTTTCCCTTGGAGGGGCTGGAGGTCATGCTCACATACAATGGGTATGTCGTTGAGGGAGAAGTCAATGGACTTCAAGGAATTTAATTCCTGGAACGAAGGGTGAAGGGAAAGGCTATGGATCTCATTCTTGGACAGGTCCAGGCGATTCAAAGACGGCAAGTTTCTGAAATAACCGTCTTTTAACACAGCATCGGAGAGGCCACAGTAAAAGAGCCGGAGTTCAAACAGACGGGGCAGCCCTTGAAAGGCATCCGGATGCAAGAAGCCTATCGTACTTTTGCCCAAGTCCAAGATCCTGAGGTTGGGCAGGTTCCTGAAGGCTTCTTGGTCAACGGTGAAGGAGGTAAACTGAGTCCCAAGCTCCAGCAGCTCCAGCCGCTCCAGGAAGGGGAAGGACGCGGCTGTGACGGTCTGGATATAGTTGAAGCTCAGCAGGAGGCGCTCAGTGGTGCCGGGGACCTGGGGGACCCGGGTGAGGTTACAGAAACGATACAAGGCGACGCGGCCATCCGAGGAGCAGGAAGACATCCCAAGCGCAGGGCTGGCCAGGAGCACCACTCCCAAGAGAAGGTCAAGGTGGTTTCCCATGATCCTATGGAAAGGAAGGGAGAATGGAAACACGGCTCTCTGAGCTCGAGGCATTGCACACGGGTCTTTAGAACTTGAGCCCTTATGTCACGCACCTGCTGCTCTCTTAGACCCTCTGGCTCCCTGGACACGGCGGTTGATGGTATTTTCTGGTGCGTATAGCGCTGTTCTCGCCGTCTTTCTATCCCTCCTATTGCGTTTCCTACACCCCGCGGTGGCTTCCCTGCTTTGAGGTCACGGACCCCCGTGAGCAGCTGATGATAGCCGATTCCTCGCCTTCCAAAAAGGCACCTTTGCATCCACGAGCAGCTGATCGGAGGTAGCTCCGATTCCTCGCCTTCCAAAAAGGCACCTTTGCATCCATCACCGATCAAGTTTTGTACCCGATGTCAGGGGGCTCACTGACCTCCTGAAGCCGGCCCCTTCCAACCTCATGTCTCTTAACGCTTCGTTGACATAGAACCACCGCCGTGTCTTATACTCGGCAACAGGGCTTGGCAAACTCTTCGTTTAGGCTCTGCAGTCCACGTGCCATCGTTTGCTGACCTCTGTTCTAGAAGGGAAGAGAACAGAAACGTTGATTTCCCAAAGGAGGGTTGTAAGTGACTGTCGGATACACATGTTCTGATACTATTTGCGGGAAAGAAACTAGGTTGGCCCCCGAGTCGCTGGCAGTTTTGCAGCTACTGTTTGAAACCCAAGCATCAGAATGGATCCTCATCTCGGGTAACCAGCCAGGAAAATCCCTACAGAGCCCCGGGAGCGAGCACGCCGGCTGAGAATAACGCCTTCTGGTTTCACTCCTACCTTATTTACAGATGGCTCCGCGCTGGCCCCCAAATGCAGACACTCAACTCGGTGGCTTGACCTTGAATTTGTGGTAACAAGAGATGAGAGAGAGCCCTATCTGCTGAGCCAAACCGGCCAGGGCCCCAAACCATGTATTTAAACGACAACGATGAAGCAGCGTGAACAGTTACTGATGCTGTTAGTTCTGCCATCAGGTGACATATGGATTCCTTCCTAAATTATCACCATGCGATGCGAACTTACAATAAGTCCCTAGGCTCCCGGGGGAAAGGGGCTAGAGACACCACTCAAAAAGGTCACCAGTGGCCCATAAAGCAAGCTGATGACAGCGCAGCACCTCTTATAGATGTCCCATGGTGAAGAGCACATAAACAATCGCCAATAAATCAACAACAGCAAGTGCAGGCGAGGATGCGGAGAAAAAGGAACCCTCGTGCACTGCTGGTGGGAATGCAGACTGGTGCAGCCACTGTGGAGAACAGTATGGAGTTTCCTCAAAAA